GCGGCCACTGAACTCCAGTCTGGGCGACAGAGTGAGACTCCAACTCAAAAAAAAAATAAATAAAGAAAGAAAATAAAAACAGTTATTGGATTGGTATGGTAGGATTATAGGTGACATTAAAAAAAAATAGCCTGGCTGGGCTCAGTGGCTCAGCCTGTAATCCCGCGCCTTTGGGAGGCCGAGGTGAGTGGATTGCCTGAGCCTGCGGGTTCGAGACCCGCCTGGGCAGGTGAGACCTCATCTCTACAAATCTCTACAATAAATCAAAAAAATTAGCCAGGCGTGGTAGCGCGCACCTGTAGTTCCTGCTACTTGGAAGGCTGAGGTGGAAGGATCGCCGGAGCCCAGCAGGTCGAGGTTGTGGTGGCCAGGAGCAGCCACTGCACTCTAGTCTGGGTGACAGAGTGAGACTCCAACTCAAAAAAAAAAAAAAGAAAAGAAAAAATAGCCTATGGAGATATAAATTATATATATACCACTATATTCATTCATGGAAAGTATACAATTCAATGATTTTTTTTACTCTACCCTCAGATATGTTTATCATCACAGTCCATTGTAGATCAGTTTCATCACCTCAAGAAGAAACTCTGTATCCGTTAGCTGTCACCTGTTCCCAGCCCTAAGCAGCCCTAAGCCAGGCACTGTGGCTCATGCCTGTAGTCTCAGCACTTTGGGAGGCAGAGGTGAGAGGACTGCCTGAGCCCACGGGTTGGAGACCCGCCTGGGCCACATGGCGAGACCTCATCTCTACCATAAATCAAAAAATTAGCTGGGCATAGTGCCATGTGCCTGCAGTTCCAGCTATGATTACAACTCACTTCCAGCAGCCTCGACCTACTGGGCTTGGGAGCCTTCCACCTCAGTCTCCTGAGTAGCTGAGACTACAGGCACGTACCATCATATCCGGCTAATTTTTTGATTTTTTGGTGTGTGTGGTTGTAGAGACGAGGTCTTGCTATATTGCCCAGGCTGGTCTTGAACTCCTGGACACAAGCAATCCTCCCACCCTAACCTCCCAAAGTGCTAGGATTACAGGTGTCAGCCACCATGTCTGGCTCCTACTACTTTAATGAATTAATGTACCACTTAAAACACTACTTGGTGTAGAATAACTAGCAATTACATGTTGAATGAATAAATGGCATAACTGTCAACCTCCTGATTTTGTTTGTTGTTGTTTTTTTTGAGTTGGAGTCTCATTCTGTCGCCCAGGCTGCAGTGCACTGGCACACTCACACAGCCACCCCAGTGTCAACCTGCTGGGCTCAAGTGATCCTTCCATACCATACCCGGCTATTTTTTTATTTATTTATTGTAGAGACGAGGTCTTGCCAAGTTACCCAGCCTGTTCTCGAACCCATGGGTTCAGGCAACCCTCTCATCTAGGCCTCCCAAAGTGCTGGGATTACAGGTTTGAGCCACTGAGCCCAGCCAACCTCCTGATTTGAATTCGCAAAAATGTACCGGACATTTTCACCTATACGTGCTACTGGAGCTTGAAATATCTAACCTAAAAAAAAAAATCACTCAAGCCACATATTTTTTAGCAACTCAAAGCTAACACTTCCTAAAACTAATGCATCATCTATTTCACCCAAACAAGCCCGCCCCTTCTGACTTTCCTATTTTAGGTACTAATTCAGCATTTCCAAGCAACCTGGACTTGGCGATTAAATTTCATCATTTAATTATTCCTTCTCTTGACCAGCTAATATTTTGACTTATTGTAGAGACAAGGGCTCACCAAGTTGCTCAGGCTGATTTCGAACCCCTGGACTCAGACAATTCTTTCCCTTCCGCCTCCCAAAGTGCTGGGATTACAGGTATGAGCCACTGTGCCTGGCTTCAATATCTTCTTACTTGCATTAGTATAACAGCTTAACTGTTCTACCCATCCTGTCTCTCTCGGGTCATTTCTTTAAAATCATAAAATTCAGCAGGGCACTGTGGCTCATGCCTGTAATCCCAGCACTTTGAGAGGTAGAGGCGAGAGGACTGCCTGAGTCCAAGGGTTTGAGACCAGCCTGGGCAACTTGGCAAGACCTTGTCTCTACAACAAATCAAAAAATTAGCCAGGCATGGTGGCGCACGCCTGTAGTTCCAGCGACTTGGAAGGCTGAGGTGGAGGGATCGCCTTAGCCCAGCAGGTCAAGGTTGCAGTAGTCATGAGCGTGCCACTGCACTCCAGCCTGGGTGACAGAGTGAGACCCTGACTCAAAAAAAAACACAAAAAAACCCACATAAAATTCATCAGTGGCTCCTCATAGCCTAAAGCGTTAAATCAAACCCCTTAACCTAGAATTCATGCTTTCTACACAAGGGCCAAACCTATTTGTCCCGTTTTCCCTCTACTCCCCTAAACGTACCCTGTCTCCAGGTAACTTCCTTGCACTCATGCCTTTGTTTATGAACGTCCCTCCAGGTGGAACACAGCTCCCTCCACAACCCTCACAGTTCCACTGGGTGACGTCTAGTCCACAGATGCCAACTCACCTGAAATACGAACTCCTTTCTCTCTCTCCCCCCTGAGGCTCTCAACCCAAAATGACCTGCCAGAATGGTCTAGCCGCAGAGGAACTGCCTGTGCAGTTCTCTGAAAGGCAGCTCACATATTAGAGTTCTTCGTGGCTATCATTTCTCCCATCGCAGCGTGTGTTCCCTGCAGAAACCGTGTCCTACCCATCGCTGCATCTCCCTCATTTACAGGCGGGCGAGGGGGTTCCAGCTCGCTTCATTCCGCCCACCTCCGATATTCTGGCTCAGGTGTATCCCGTGGAACTCGTCTACTGTCAATTAACGTCCGTTTAGCACTTTGACATCACTGTATCTACCCCCACGACAACCCTGCTGAGTACCTGTATCACCCCTTGTTTTGCAAATGAGGAAACTTGAGGCTTAGACGAGCGTGGGGTGAGGAAGACCGGAGTCCCTCTCCAGGATGTTCGAATCCTACACTCCTCGCCGCTCCGGCCCCCCAAGTCTCTCTCCTCGCCGATTCTCACGGGCCTCTTCCGGTCCCCAGCCCTCGAAGCACCCCAGGTTCGGGGCTCACGTCCCTCTCCTCCGCACGGCACTCGCAATGACTTCCCCCTCGCCAGGTTTTCTTCCCAAGTCCGCCTCCCTAGTCTCTTCACCCCCAAACCCGAAACCCCATACTCACGACGCACGAGACCTCCGAGTCAGAGAAACCAACCGAAAAACAAAAGTCAAATCGGGGAGCGACGCGGCGCCACTGAGCGTCCACGAACCCGTCCAATCGCTCACCGGCTTACACGGTGCTTTGGAACGCGCGCCAATGGAAAGGCTGGTCACACAGGGGCACGCCCCCATCTCGCCCCGCCGCCCGTGCGTTTCGCCGCGCAGAGGTCGCCGGGAGATGTAGTTTTTCTTCTGCACGCGGTTCTGGGCTGGGAGATACGGCGAGTCTGCAACCCAGCTCGCTCCGGTCACCGGAGGGGTGATATTTGGGATCAGAACGCACTAGTTCCGGGCACCCGCAGTTTAAACTTGCTCGACTGCTTTTCTCTTCTTCTTTTTCTTATTTTTAGAAAATGTAGCTTATTTAGAAAGTAAATTCAGCCAGGCTCGGTGGCTCAGCCTGTAAACCCGCGCCTTGGGAGGCTGAGGTGAGTGGATTGCCTGAGCCCGCGGCTTCGAGACCCGCCTGGGCAACTTGGCGAGACCTCATCTCTACAATAAATCAAAAAATTAGCCGGGCGTGGTAGCGCGCGCCTGTACTTCCAGCTACTTGGAAGGCTGAGGCAGAAGGATCGCCGGAGCCCTGCAGGTCGAGGCTGCGGTGGCCGGGAGCGGCCACGGCACTCCAGTCTGGGTGACAGAGTGAGACTCCAACTCAAAAAAAAAAAAAAAAACAAGAAAATTTTAATTTTGGAAAACTTGTTTCCATCATCCTATTTGACAACTTCTCATTTGCCTGCTGAGATTGATGGTGATATTTTTGTCATTTTTTTGATATTATATAATAATTTGTGTCTGCATTTGGAAGAGCCGAATAACTCAGTGAACCAGTATTTTCCAAATGAACAACAAATGATGCTACCAAATCATGACTGGGTTAAAAAAGTCCCCTCAAGGCCAAGACTGACTATGATTTTAATGTAACAGAGTGCAAAAAGTTAATTGATAAGTTTAGATTCCAAATTGCTAGCCTTTAAGAAATTGCATGGCCGGGTGTGGTGGCTCTCCTCTGTAATCCCGGCAATTTTGGAGGCCGAGGTAGGAGGATTGCTTGAGGCTGGGAGGTTGAGACTGCCACGGCAACATAGGGAGACCCCCATCTCTACAAAAAATAAAACTATCAGTCAGGCATGGTGGCTCATGCCTGTAGTCCCAGTTGAGGCGCAAGGATCACCTGAGCCCAGGAGGTTGAGGCTGCAGTGAGGAAAAAAAAAAAGAAATTAAAATTAACTGAAAAGGATGTTAAAATGCTTCTTTCTTTTCCAACTACACATCTGTGTGATGCTGGATTTTCTTCATATATCCCAACCACAACAACATATTGCAACACATTGAAGACAGAAGCAGATATGAGAATCCAGTTTGCTCCTACTAAGCCAAACGTTAAAACATTTTTTTTTCTAAGTCAGAGTCTTACTCTGTCACTCAGGCTGGAGTGCAGTGGCACACTCAAGACCACCGCAGCCTCGATCTGCTGGGCTCAGACGATCCTTCCACCTCAGCCTACCAAGTGGCTGGAACTATAAGCACGTACCACCACACCCAGCTTATTTCTTGATTTATTGTAGAGATGAGGTCTCGCCAAGTTGCTCAGGCTGGTCTCAAACCCGTGGGCTCAAGCAATCCTTTCACCCAAAGTGCTGGGATTATAGGCGTGAGCTACTGCACCCAGCCTCCTTAAGACATTTTTATAGCCAAGTGTGGTGGGTGGCTCACACCTATAATCCCAGCACTTTGAACGGCCAAGATGAAAAGATTGCCTGAGCCCAAGGGTTTGAGACCAGCCTGGGCAACTTGGCGAGACCTTATCTCTACAATAAATCAAAAAATTAGCTGGGCCTGGTGAGGCATGCCTGTAGTTGCAGCTACTTGGAAGGCTGAGGCGGAAGGATCACTTGAGCCCAGCAAGTCAAAGCTGCGGTGGCTATGAGCATCCCACTGCACTCCAGCCTGGACAGAGTGAGACTTCGACTAAATAAAAAAATAAAAAAAAAACTCGAAAAACAAACAACAATTATATGCCGGGTGCGGTAGCTCAGGCCTGTAATCTCAGCACTGTGTGAGGTGGAGACAGAGGATTACCTGAGCCCAGTGGGTTCGAGACCCGCCTATGCAACTTGGCAAGACCTCGTCTCTACAATAAATCAAAAATTGGCCAAGCATGGTGGCCTACGCCTGTAGTCCCAAGTACTTGGAAAGCTGAGACGGAAGGATCGCCGGAGCCCAGCAGGTCGAGGCTGTGGTGGCCGGGAGTGGCCACTGCACTCCAGCCTGGGCAATAGCGTGAGATTCCAACTAAAAATAAAAATAAAAATAAAAAAATAAAAAACATTTTTACCAAAAAATATAGACCAATGTCACTCTTCTAAGTTTTTTGTTTTGGAAAATATAATTATAAGAGGTTTATTACTTTTCTTTCTTTCTTTTTTTTTTTGAGTTGGAGTCTCACTCTGTCGCCCAGACTGGAGTGCAGTGGCCGCTCCCGGCCACCGCAGCCTCGACCTGCTGGGCTCCGGCGATCCTTCCGCCTCAGCCTTCCAAGTAGCCGGAATTACAGGCACGCGCTACCATGCCTGGCTGATTTTTTGATTTATTGTAGAGATGAGGTCTCGCCGCCCAGGCGGGTCTCGAACCCGCAGGCTCAGGCAATCCACTCACCTCAGCCTCCCAAAGGCGCGGGCTGAGCCACCGAGCCCGGCTACTTTTATTTTTCAATGAATATGTAAATATTTTAAACATTTCTTTGCTTTAATTTCCAACATGATAAATATCAATGTATATAATCCATATAAACAAGAACTTTGGGGTTCTCAATGACTTTTAAGAGTGTGAAGGGCCGTGCACGGTGGCTCAGTCTGTAATCCCAGCACTTTGGGAGGTTGAGGTGAAAGGAGTGCCTGAGCCTGGGGGTTCAAGAACAGCCTGGTTAACTTGGTGAGACCTCGTCTCTACAATAAATTGCAAAAATTAGCCAGACATGGTGGCGCATGTCTATAGTTCCAGCTACTTGGAAGACTGAGGCAGAAGGACCACCTAAGCCTAGCAGCAATTTGCAATGGTCGTGAACATGCCACTGCACTCCAGCCTGGGCGACAGAGTGAGACTCCAACCCAAAAAAAGAAAAAAGAAAAAAAAAAAAAGAGCATAAAGGGGTCCGAGACCAAACAGAATCACTACTGAAAAGTATTCTTTTTTTTCTTTGAATTGGATTCTTACTCTTGTCTATCTTGACTTCCTGGGTTTGGGCATTCCTTTCCACCTCAGCCTTCCAAGTAGCTGGGATTACAGGTGCATGCCACCATGCACAGTCTTTTTTATTTTTTCTAAAAACAAGGTTTTGTTTTTTCTTTTATGTTGCCTAGACTGGTTGAAAGTCCTGGGCACAAGCAATCCTCTCACCTGGGCATCCCAAAGTGCTAGAATTACACCACACCTGGCCTTTAATTGCATTTCTTTAAAAAAGCAGTTCAGAGATCACAGCCTAGTCAAACTGCTATCAGACTTAGGGATTATTTTTATTCTATTCTAATACTCAGGATAGTAACTTTCAGATAAGTATATAATATTCTAATAATTATTTAATTTTTTCTCTGAAAAGTTATTTTCACAGATTAAATAATGCAAACAATACCTTTAAACTACAGCTAAATTGAGTCCTGCCCAAAGACACAAATAATAATGGCAGTCAATTTAATATTGTGTGCGCAGAGGCTGGGCGCAGTGGCTCACACCTGTACGCCTGTAATCCCAGCACTTTGGGAGGCCAAGGTGAGAAGATTGCTTGAGCCCAGGAATTTCAGCCTAGGCAACACAGCGAGGCCTCATCTCTACAAAAAATAAAAAATTACTCAGATGTGGCAGCATGTGCTTATAGTCCCAGCTGCTTGAGAGACTGAGGAGGAAGGACTGCCTGAACCCAGGAGGTTGAGGCTGTGGTGAGCAGTGATGCTGCCATTGCACTCCAGCCTGGGCAGCAGAGACCCCGACCACCCCCCAAAAAACAAACAAACCCAGAAATAAGCAAAGAAACAAAAAAAAGGTGTGTGCAGAATGCCCTCATAGAAGCTGAAATACCCCCCTGCCAACCCCCAGAAATTCTGGATTTTTTTTTTTTTTTGAGTTGGAGTCTCACTGTGTCGCCAAGACTGGAGTGCAGTGGCCGCTCCCGGCCACCGCAGCCTCGACCTGCTGGGCTCCGGCGATCCTTCCGCCTCAGCCTTCCAAGTAGCCGGAATTACAGGCACACACTACCATGCCTGGCTGATTTTTTGATTTATTGTAGAGATGAGGTCTCGCTGCCCAGGCGGGTCTCGAACCTGCGGGCTCAGGCAATCCACTCACCTCAGCCTCCCAAAGGCGCGGATTACAGGCTGAGCCACCGAGCCTGACTGAAATTCTGGATTTTTATAGCAGTGATTCTCAAAGGGGTCAGGGATGGGGTTCACCTGCCTGCCCTCAAGGGAGCCTCAGAATCCGAGGCCAGTGACATGGGGGGAGTTTCTTCCATCCCCATCAGAGATATTCACTGCCCTTCTTTTGTAGACTGACTGCTATTGCAAGCACCCACTACAGCTATCTCAGAAGTATTGCAACAAATAAAAATAATTGAGAATCGTTATCCTATGATTTTATATTCTACTAAAGAGACATTTTAAAATGATAGTTAAGTATAATTTGAAAGAATAACAAGGAATAAACAGGCCCAATCAAAGACTAGGGGTTTATGCCTATACTGAGGACCTATCGGGGCTCACTCTTAAATTTAAAAAAAAATTTATTTGATTTTTGAGTCAGAGTCTCACCCTGTCACCTAGGCTGGAGTGCAGTGGCACATTCATGGCCACTGCAGCCTCCACCTGCTGGGCTCAGGAGATCCTTCTGCATCATCCTTCCAAGGAGCTGGAACTACAGGCGTGAGTCACCACACCCGGTTAATTTTTTTGATTTATTGTAGAGATGAGGTCTCACCAAGTTGCTCAGGCTAGTCTTGAACCCCTGGTCCCAGGCAATCCTGTCACCTCGGCCTCCCAAAATGCTAAGATTATAGGTTTGAGCCACCGCACCTCACTCTTCTATTCATAATTTTTTTTTTTTTTGAGTCAGAGTCTCACTGTCGACCAGGTTGGAGTGCAGCGGTGTGATCACAGTTCATTGCAGCTTTGACCTCTTGTGCTCAGGCACTCCTCCCACCTCAGCATCCTGAGTAGCTGGGATGACAGGCACACGCCACCATGCCTGGGTGTTTTTGATTTTTTTGTGGAGTCAAGATCTTGCTATGTTGCCTAGGCTGGTCTCGAACTCCCGGCTCAAGCAGCAATCCTCTCACCTTGGCCTCCCAAAGTGCTGGGATTAAATGCTTGAGCTACTGCATCTTGCTTTCTATTTCTTTTTATTTTTGTTGTTGAGTTGGAATCTCACTCTGTTGTCCAGACTGGAGTGCAGTGGTCGCTCCCGGCCACCGCAGCCTCGGCCTGCTGGGCTGCGGCGATCCTTCCGCCTCAGCCTTCCAAGCAGCTGGAATTACAGGCATGCACTACCACGCCCGGCTGATTTTTTGATTTATTGTAGAGATGCGGTCTCGCTGCCCAGTTGGGTCTCGAACCCGCGGGCTCAGGCAATCCACTCACCTCAGCCTCCCAAAGGTGCGGGACTACAGGTTGAGCCACCAAGCCCGGCTTCTATTTCTAATTCTAAGGCAAAACCATTATTTTTTTGAGTTAGAGCCTCACTCCGTCACTCAGGCTGGAGTGCAGTGGAACGCTCACGGCCACTGCAGCCTTGACCTGCTGGGCTCCAGCGATCCTTCCACCTCAGCCTTCCAAGTAGCTGGAACTACAGCTGCCCGCCACCATGCCCAACTAGTTTGTGTGTGTGTGTGATTTAGTATAGAAAAAAGGTCTCACTATGTTGTCCAGGCTGGTCTCGAACTCCTGGGTTCTGACTTTCTTTCTCTTGCTTCAGTCTCCCAAAGTGCTGGGATTACAAGCTGAGCCACTGTGCCCGGTCTTTTTTTTTTTTTTTTTTTGAGTTGGAGTCTCACTCTGTTGCCCAGGCTGGAGTGCTATGGCATGATCACGTCCACTGCGGCCTCAACCTGCTGGGCTCAGGCGATCCTTTCACTTCTGCCTTCTGGGTAGCTGGAACTACAGGCAGCACCACCACACCGGGCTAAGTTTTTGATTTATTGTAGAGATGAAGTCTCACCAAATTGCCCAGGCTGGTCTTGAATCTGTGGGCTTAGGCAATTCTCTCACCTAGCCTCCCAAAGTGCTGGGGTTGTGGGCGTGAGCCACTGTGCCCAGTCAGTCGCCCAATTTGTTAATTTTATTCCAAAATTCTCTAGTAAAAACAGCAGAATGTTTGACCATGTATCTGGGCACTACAGTCAAGCCAAACTGACACGTAAAATTAACCATTAAATTAAACTAGCCAGGTGAGAAGGCTCATGTCTATAACCCCAGCACTTTGGGAGGCAGGGATGAGAGGAATGCCTGAGCCTAGGGGTTCGAGACCAGCCCAGGCAACATGGCGAGACCTGGTCTCTACCAAAAAAAAAAAATTAGCTGGGCATGGTGGTGTGCGCCTGTAGCCCCAGATACTTGGAAGGCTGAGGTGGAAGGATCGCCTGAGCTGCAGTAGTCATGAGCGTGCCACTGTACTCCAACGTGGGTGAATAGAGACTCTGACTAAAAAAAAAAAAAAAAAAAAAAAAAGCCACTGTGATGGTGCTTGGCTGTAGTCCTAGCTTCTCAGGAGGCTGAGGCGGAAGGATCACCTCAGCCCAGGAGGTGGAAAATGGGGTGAGCCATGATCATGCCACAGCACTCCAGCCTGGGCAACAGAATGAGACTTTCACTCAAAAAGGAAAGAAAAGAGGAGAAAGACATACAATTCAAATTGTCAGATAACTGAAATTGCATAAGTGGCCTCAAGTGAGGCCATGAAGACACCAGATTGACAACCTACAGAACTGTGATTAGTAATTTTTTGCCACTAAGTTTTGAGGCATCGTTATACAACAATGGGTAACTAAAACAGGACTAACATCTCCTGAAAATGTTTGTGGGTTTAGGATGGTGGCTGAGTAACTGGTCATTAGCTTCGGTGGATGTTTTAATCCAATGGTGGGATGTTGCATATGTCACATCCTGGTACAATCTCAAAAGACATTAGGAATACATGAATGTAGGATGAGACAATGACACACAGGGCAGGCTGGTTGTGAACCCATTAATTTATTTACTCAATCATTTAACAGATATTTATTGCATGCCTCCTACACACCAAAGAGCTGGGGAAACTAGACAGGCACTGTCCTTGCCTTTGTCTAACTTACAGTCTGAGGAACAAAGGCAATTCAACGTGTAGCTTTAAAAAGCTTGGCATACAGCCGGGCTCGGTGGCTCAGCCTGTAATCCCGCGCCTTGGGAGGCTGAGGTGAGTGGACTGCCTGAGCCCGCGAGTTCGAGACCCGCCTGGGCAGCGAGACCTCATCTCTACAGTAAATCAAAAAAATCAGCCGGGCATGGTAGCGCCTGCCTGTAATTCCAGCTACTCGGAAGGCTGAGGCGGAAGGAAGGATCGCCGGAGCCCAGCAGGTCGAGGCTGCGGTGGCCGAGAGCGGCCACTGCACTCCAGACTGGGCAACCGAGTGAGACTCCAACTCAAAAAAAAAAAAAAAAGTTTGACATGGAAGCATGAGTTACTGCTGACTGCACCAATTTTGAGGATTAGAGAAGGCTTTCCAGAGGAAGTGATATTCAGTCTGATGAGAAAGGATGAGTAGAATTTAGCCAGGAAGGAGATTCATGAAACTGTAGGGAGGGGTTGCAGACAGGAAATATCTGGGAAGGCTCAGAGGTGACAAAAAGCAGGGCGCATTAAAGCCACACTAAATGTCTGTGGGTTATATGGAGAAGCAGAAGAGATGAAGATGGAGAATAAGACAGCAAATAATAATAATAAATAATGATAGTTTGGAGTTTGGAGATGAAACGTGACAAGCTGAATTTTGGGACAAGCAATCCAACTACAGAATGGAGAGGGATTTGAGGGGAAAGAACTGAGTTGCTATCATAGTTCCATTTAAATTAGGAGAGTGGTAATGAGGATGAACAGGCATGGGTGGACTTAAAGCTTTTAGGCGACAGAATCTCCTCATTTGGCATGCAATTGTGCATGGGAAGTCAGGGAGCAGAAAGAATTATTCCTTGATTTTTTTTTTCCTCAGGCAACTGAGTAGATGAATGAAGTCATTCATGGAAACCAGAAACATTGAAAAAATAGTGGAGAATAACTAGTTTAAGGTAAATGGAGTTGTCTAGTAGGTAGATTTAAATGGAGTTTTCTAGCTGGGCTCAGTGGCTCAGCCTGTAATCTGCACCTTTGGGAGGCTGAGGTGAGTGGATTGCCTCAGCCCGCGGGTTCGAGACCCATCTGGGCAGCGAGACCTCATCTCTACAATAAATCAAAAA